CGCGAGATTTATACGTAAAATCATGGAATAAAGAGAAAAATTATTTTCCGAAATTTACAGCCAATTTATTCTTAGTATAAAGATATGTATATATAAGAAAAATGTTAATGTAGAAAAAAAACGAAAATTTTCTGATAATAAAATTAACCCTGGCTATCTAAATCCCAGAAACTCTAGCTAGTGCAATTTACTAAATTGAGATTTTTTTTTGTGATTCTGAATTTTTCTTTTTCTTTAAACTTATATATCTCGAAACTCCTTAATTCTATCGACTTTTATACATCATGGATTTATTTTTATTTCTTAATCAATTCTCCATCGAAAAAAAAAATTAATTGAAATATGTCCATTTTTATGGAAGTTACGGTAATAAATATGGATGGAGTCTCAAGGAGTGTGTATATCAAGGATAAAAAGAAGTATGTAGAATAAGGTTAAATATACTCTCAGTATTGTATGTATTCAAGTTTAGATATCTTTCTAAATAAATTTACATTAATTAATTTATATTAAACAAATTCATATAAATATAAATTAAAATGTGACGTCTGTGAATATTTTTCAAGATTAAAATTGTTTATTTTGATAGTATAATTTAAAACATTGCCGCTTTTAGTTAATTTCATTCTCTCATATACATTAAATTACACGCACGACATCCCAACAACATTTCTTTTATTACGTGCTTAAAATGTTGCTGTAATACAATTATCGAGCAGACCCCTATATACATAGAGGATATAGAAATTTATATCGAACCAAGCATTGATTTTTTTCTCTATAAAATTTAATACAATCTACTTCATCTTGTAAAAACCTTATGAGTACGATCTTTATTTTGTGTTTTAAATTTAATTTTAAAAGAAACATACCTTAATTAAGATTTTATGTATTGCTATGGTATTCGACGATATTATAAAACATGCAACGTCGTTTCTTATAAAGAAATGACATGCCAAATATCTATTTTATTAAAATTATACTTATATATTTTCGATGTAATTAATTATTTATTTACACACACACATATATATATATATATATCCCTAAAATTAATAAATATGTACAACAGTTCCTAAAATGCATTTCTTACGTATAGTTGTTTATGTCTATCTAGTATAATAATAATAATTTATA